AGAGCCGGCTCTTCTTGGTGAGCCGGAATTCCCATCACTGGTCAATAGATCACTTATTTAACCAGCACAAAATAAAACGTGCTCTTCTCAGATATGAGGATTGTCTGCTTTCCTTCGTGTTATACCTTTGTAAATTGAACATCTTTGGGAGATTTGGACTTTAAAATTCTATTAACTAGAAAGTTAGGCCTTATAAATGTGTGATAACTGTTAGGTTAGAAACGCCGGTCTCTTCACCTGCGCTAATCACTCCAACATTATTGAAATGCCACCATGTTTCTGTAAACAAATGACGTAAAAAAGGGAAAAAAACAACAACATTTTGGCCAGTAACTCAGAATATGTATCAGAAATACTTTATTTATCACAGGAGAATTTTATATTCGTATGCCAGCCCCGATTCCAGATTTTAGGTGATGATATTAGTTGTTTATTATCTTCAATCAGCCAATCCTGACTGCGTTTATGTGAATTCAGATCGTTATTGTTTGATCCTCTCAGAAAGAGGCCATGTTGTTGTACACTTCCCTGTATGGTATTTGAATTTTCCACACACCAGCGTGACTGTGAGAACATCTGCGATTGGTCCTAAAATATCACATGACGAACTTCTCCTCCGCTGACTCTGTCTACATGTTGTCAGTACCAGATGAAGTAAAAAAGCCTCAGCCTCCGTCACTAGAGTCAGTTTTGTTGCATTTTGGTCATCAACTTCCTGTTTCCCTTGCTCAGAATTGCCACATTATTCCTCTGAAACAACACAGAGCTAAAGTGGATGATTACACAAATCTTTAACCCTCGACAGCATTAAACAGGTTTCTATTTCAGTCGAACGGTCTTCCACTGTTGCATGGCTGACATGAAGGAGCCGCAGACATACCGTCTGTTTACTTAGGGTCATAAGGCTGCTTCTAAAAACCACTTAGCCCCTCATTTGTCTAAAATAAAGTGGTTAAAACTCAGATCTCCGCTTGGTCTATAGTTCTATTACTGTAGTACAGGTCGTAGGTTCAGGGTGATGTTTTAAGGTGTGACTGCTCAAGTTATTTTGGTCACAAACATGACATTTAAAAACTGCACACCAGAATGTGTGTGTCTAGTTCCTCCATCCAACACCAATTTACTTCACACAGTATGTTCTGTTTGCAGAAGTTACAGAAGCTAACAATGTTTTGGAAGTCAAATCAAGCTAAATGAGGACCTTTTTAGGATTTTTAATTAACTGGTAATCCTGCACAAGTCCAATAAAAGTAAAGATTGGAAAATATTAGGGAAAAGAAACAACCAAGAAGGAATATTTAACTATGATAGGCTGGGGGGTTGGGAGGCTGTGGCTCAGTGGATAGTGCACTGAACTTTGAATCAGGGGGTAGCAAGTTCGAGTCCCACTGCAGTCAGCATGTCGTTGTGTCCCTGAGACACTTCACCCCAAATTGCTCCTGTGGGGATTGTCCACAGTACTGAATGTATGTAAGTCACTTTGGATAAAAGCATCTAACAAATGAAATGTAATGTAATGATACAAGGAAGTCCCATTTTCACAAGTGCAATCTGCAACGTCAGGGAACACATAGTAGATTGTAAGGCTAATCATTAAATAGGAGCAGGTTCCCAGGGAATAAATGGAAAACAGGCAAAGATATAACGTGACAACAATACCTGGCCATGCAAAGTTCTCATTTGGTTATTTATCTCAAAGCAGGAGATAAAGTTTGCTCGCTGGACATAAACAGAGAGTTATTTGAAAAGGTTAGGCCATTGAGGATGCTGATAACGTTTTGTGGGAATTGGGGAGTGTTATTCAGCTCAGGTTGAATTCTACAATTAGACTAATCTATATTTTTAACTGGATTACATTACCAACAAAATAAAGAAATGCATTGTATGTACAGTATGTTCATACATTTAACGGCAATGCTTTATTTGACCTGTCAAATGTTAAATGTGATTGGGTATTAACATGACAAAGATGTGTTTTTAAGGTATTGGAAACTCATGTTTGTGTTGGCGCAAAACATATCCATCCTATTCTCACATATGTCCCTATCAATGTAATAACTACAATAACATAAGCTCCAGAGAGAAAAGTCCCACCAAATGAATACACCAAACTCAAAAAACTCAAGTGTTCCCTGTGTTGTATTTAAGGCACTATGTATCTGTATTATTCACAGAGATGGAAGATGTACTCAGATCTTGTACTTGAGTAAAAGTAGAAGTACCAGAGTGTAGGAATACTCTGTTAGAAGTAAAAGTCCTGCATTCAAAATGTTACTCAAGAGTACAAAAGTATTAGCATCAAAATATACTTAAAGTAGCGACAGTAAAAGTAGTCATTGTGCAGATTGGTCCATTTCAGAATAATATATATGATATGTTTTATAATGATTGATCATTAAAGTGTTCTCAAAGCTGGTAAAGGTGCAGCTAGTTTGAATGACTTTGTATACTGCAGGGTAGCTGGTGAATTTACTCCAGGTGGAACTAAAGTCTGATTTAACACTTGATAACATCCAGATCTGTAAAGTAACTAAAGGTATTCAATACATGTAGTGGAGTAAAAGTACACCATGTACCTCTGAATTGTAGTGGAGTAGAAGTACAAAGTAACATAAACTGGAAATACTCAAGTAAAGCACAAGTATCTCAGAATTGTTACTTTACACCACTGATTATTTGCTTATCTTATTGTTGTTTTGTCTCCACAGCTATAACAGCAGACACACGCTGATTATTCTGCTTCATTATTATGTTATCGCTCGGAGAGTATAAGTACATCATCAGTACTAGATGCGAGTCTGCAAATATAACCAACCACAGTCCCTCATGTTGTCTGCAGCGGTTCATTAGAGAAGGAGCTGCAGTCTGGAACAAAGACAGCCTGATGACCTCAGACAGCTTTTCAGTAGATAAGAAGGCTTCATTTTGGAGATACTGTATCCGTCTAGCTTTGGCTTACTTAGCAAAACTGCTCCTAGTCATTTCTAAATTCCAGTCTCTTATTTCACTCTCAATTCAGCAAATGAAACAAGTAATCGATCTCAGGGGTTTATCACGACACTCTGAGACTTCTGCTGCTGAGACTCAAAGTATTTCACATCTTTTGTTACATGATGGGACACAATTTTGAGGCCCGCTACACATACAGAAAAGGCTTTTGTGGGCGAAGAGGCTGTTGAAACCACCGGGTTTGATATATAATGTGGGAGTCATTGACAACACCAACAATGGGAAGGCACGTTATGATTATAGATTATGTGATAAGATAGAAGTTACACAGTGAGGCTGAGATGTAAGGCCATACAGAACTTCAATTAAAACTGTGTCTGTGGCCATAAGCACCGTGTCAAGATGACAAAGATTGGTTTTATAAAGCATACATGTTATTTTCTGCAGTCCATATAGGAAATCTTTTTATTGAGATGCAACGCCTCGATGTTGCACATTTCTCTTGTTTCTGGTTCTAAAAGAGAAGTGCTTCTGTTGCTCAAATGTTGTGACATCATGCCAAATACTGCTTCAATCGTATTCTTAACCATCTACAATAGTCCACACCAAATATTTAAACATGAATGGTTCAACTGTGATACTATGCCCCCCAATAGCAAGCAGACAATACATTGTCATTTTTTTTATAGGATTAAATAATCCATAGACTACATTCACAAGCCAGCGATCCTTGTTTCCTGGCAACTTCTTCTCTCAAGGATGAATGAAAAAAAAGTGTAGAGCCGGAGCACGTAGGAATGCCCACCGGATCAGGTTTTTCAATGAAAACCAAGAGCGTTGGCAAAGGAAACGCGTGACTCAGAAAGTACTCAGATGTTTTTCTTTTGTGGTGGGGAAACATGTCAAAACAACATATGGACACAAACGCACCCCCACAGAAACACAAAGACTGAACATACAAGTGCTTCTGTTATTCTGTTGCATTGGTGTGGAGAGTCAATGAAGTAGGCTACAGAAAAAAAGCTCAACAGAATACTAGTTGTGCTTTTTTTGAATGCTTTCGGAGTCAATTTGTATTTATTTATTTGTAGACTACATTCATATTCAGCTATTAGTCATATTGTGCTCCCCTGATCCCAACACCAACGCACTACCCACTGCGCCACACGCCTCCCAATAAGGTTCACTATCACCAACATTAAACTGCAGCTTTAACATGAAAGCCTACACAAGTACTTTAGGTGCATTTGGCAGCAATACATACTTTTTGTACTTCAAATGAACTATATTTGCATTGTTTTCAATCACAATGATCTGAATACGTCTGCATTTGGTATCAAAACAGCGTACTAATAATAGCATGTTATTATGACTTTAGTTGCACAGTATTATTTGACACTAAAGGGGAAACCAAAGTCATGGCTAAAAAAATATGCAGACTACATTCATATTCAGCTATATGTAATATTGCAGATAATAACTATAATAACAACACATAATAGTATTTGTTTTACAGTATGTTAAACTACATGACTGTACAATTAGGTTCACTATCAACAACATTAAACTGCAGCATTAACATGAAAGCTAGTCCTTTAGGTGCATTTGGCACCAATACATACTTGTTGTACTTCAAATGAACTATATTTGCATTGTTTTCAATCACAATGATCTGAATACCGTTTGGTATCAAAACAGCGTACTAGTAATAGCATGTTATTATGACTTTAGTTGTACAGTATTATTTGACACTAAAGGGGAAACCAAAGTCATGGCGATGGCTAAAAAAAACACAAAAGGGTCAATCAATAATATTGCATAAGCCTGCTGTGATACAGGCAGGGCAAAAGCTACAGTTCAATAAAAGTGAACATGTAAACAACATGCATCTCAGAGCAGAGGTGTAGCATCTCTACCAGCTGCTGAGGACACTGACACACAGACCAGAGGAAACTTTGGCTACAGACTGACTGTGAGGGATGCTGGTGTGAAGCTTGGTTTAACCTCGCTATGAGAGTGTGTGTTGGTGTGTGTCTCGGGACAGTACTCACGCCCTGGTCTTGGGGAAGCCCATGGACAGCAGCACGTCCAGAGTGGTCCCATGTTTGACGGTGCTCGGCCGGCTCTGGCGCTGCCTCCGCGGCGTCACTTTGGCGTACAGTTCCTCTTTAGCTGCCATAACTCACTGCTCCATCGGTATGTCAGGTCCTCGGCTCCTCTGATGTATTTTCATTTAATTAAAAAAATAATAATAAAAAAGAAGGATGAAAGCGGCTTAAACCAGGGTTAGTTGTGAAAGGCGGAAACACGCAGGAAACCTTCGGAGGAAACGAGCATTTTTCTGGGTTTGACAAATGCTCCGAGCTGGATCAAGCTGCCTCCTGATGGTTCGCACATAAAGTCAAAACCATCAGCAGGGGGGTCAGCCATGGGAAGTCACTCCTGCTCTCTCAGCTGTGCCCCCGATACACAGTCCCCGGCCGAGGTGAACATGTCTGATTTCACCTCGCCCCTAGTTCCGATTAATTAAAAATCAGATGCTGTATGAGCTCTCTTTTCCACACGATGTGTTATTTATGAATGGGTCCTGAGTGAGCGGAGGAGCAGCCTGTAAAATATTGCAGCTTCAACTGTGCGGCCCCCTTAGTTAAAGGGACAGTACACAGATGTGTGAGGGGACCGGAAGTCCTGTGCGGTAAGATCTCATGCAGAACAAGAACTAAACTGAGCAACCCACCCAGACCCACACACACGCGCTGTGTGTACTCTTGTGTGCTTAAATTAATCACGTTAGATGAGGTAGTATGATGAAAAATGTCGAGGTAGGGCCATACGATGGAAAAAGTTAGTCACACTTCCTGTCTGGAAAGTGGGTGTCGACACTGCACGCATGCGCAGTGAACGATTAGGAGAAAAGAACGCCATCCTCAGTTGCCTTAGCAACTTGGATGGCAAACTTTGTAAACACATCATTTTAACATTTAAAAAAATAACGTAATTTTGAAGTTTTTGTCTAATTTATTATCCTCTTTACTCAACCATATAAGTATATGTGTATGTGGCAAACAAGTAACATTGTTGTTATTGTTAGGCTATGTAACAGTTTCTTCTGAACTGCATTGGCTCTTTTCGGCTGTAACAAATGTACATTTCCCCTCTGTGGGACGAATAAAGGTATTATGATTCTGATATAGGCCTACATTTGGTTTGAGTGAATAACTTGGGATCATTTGTCACAAGATGTTTCATTGAATAGACTTGAGTCTTCACCACTCATTACCTTATTTTCAGCCAGTGACCTTGTCTGTAAAATCATCTTCACAAAAATAGAAGTAGCAAGATAAGCAATCTATAGCCTACTGTAGCTCAAATGTCTTTATGAAAAGTTAAATATAACCTACTATAAACATGACAGTAGACACAATTTATCAACAACATTTTATTAACCAAATATAAGACAAAGTTACAATCATCAGCTCTAAATTCTCTACCATGGAAAGGTGAAGTAATGTAGAAAATAGTGTTTTAAGTGTGAATATTTTAACTGAAAGATTATATATTATAAACTCATGATATATTGATGTCTGACATGATCGTACCACTAAAACACATGACCTGAGAATTAAAAAAACGTCAAGGGTAACAAATAATATAATCTTTGTGCATGGAGACAGACAGAACTAATATTAGGACCATCATCTCACAAGAGTTTGGGTAATTTATCGTTAATATAAGGCAACACAAGAGGCCTTGCCTGCATTGGGTTTATTGCATTTTGATTACCCTTGCACTTTTTTATGAACTTACATTTCCTTTAAATTTAACCCCTTGTTTAATACTCTTTCTAAATTAATATAAACTTTTTATTTGCAGGGTGTAATGTTGAATGTTCAGAGCTTTTACATCTGTTTTATCACTCTTATGGAGAAAAAAACCCAAGGCAGGCAATTATTTAAAAACTTTTTTTAACACATCATCGTCAACTTCCACTCAACAGGAAGGCTGATGTCCGTTTGTTTCAACAGGAAGTTGACTGAAGTGTCAAGTCTACACCCTGATAAATACTAATTAGTTGAGCAAATGTAATTCAAAAAGTTTAAAATACTTACAAATCAGACACCAAGACCAGACAAATATAATACAAGTTTAACTAGAAATGGGAATGTGCATCTAAATGGTTAATGTCCCAAAAGCAGTAGTAGTATAGTTTCAAGTTAATGTCAGGAAGCTCAGGGATAAGATGATTTTAAATTACAACTGTAAAAACTGTTTAGTTATTTACAAGAAAAACAAACTTTAATAGAAAAACAATATTGTACATTAGAGAAGTTTGTGTAAAAAGATAAACGCAAACACACACAGTATGAGGATGCACACAGAAACACAATCCAAACATAGATGGTAAATCGTTTGAGGCTGAAACAGGTCACAAGTAGCCATGAGTAATTTCATTAAAACAACCTATAAAAGAATTAAAGCAGTCTCACAACCTACATTTGCTAAATGATGTCCTATAACCTGGAAGCATGTGAGACAATAAAGCAGACAGTCCAATTCAACTCAAACAATCACAATGGTCCATAAAAAACTGCCATTTAGGAGCTAATAAAATGACAGACATCACTAAAAACTTCAGAAAAGTCCCACGCCGAGAGACATTTAAAACAAAGGTTATCTCCCTTTTGAAGACTATACCACGAACGACGACTTCTGTTTGAATTCCCCCTAAAAAAAGACATAAAAAACATCAGAACTAGAAAATTCCTCCTGCAAATGTCCTCAACTTAACATACAGACGTGATTCATTTATAAATCTTTTGAACAATGCTCATACTTACATCTTCTTCATCACCACCGTCACCAGAATGCAAAGACGTCGGCTGGTACACCACGCTGGGCTTTGGTTTGCTGCAGGGAGAATTGAAATACTAATTTGAAGCTCATCACAAGAGACATAATTATAAAAATTAAATTAAAAGTGGAATCGGCATTTCATTCATCACAGATCCTGTAACATCAAACATCTTCACACTAGTTTTTCTGCAGTCTAAGCCACTGTGTGCAAATCTTTGCATGTTAAGTATTTATTAAAAATCAGAAATGTGGTTTTGAGGATCAAGATATATAAATATTTGTATTCAACCCGAATTGGGAAATAGTTTTGTTACAGCAGCATTGTTAACAAGAATTACACAAGTTGAAAATATAAAAAATGTAATAAAATACAATTAAAATATATACATATCCACAGTATATGGAAGTACATTTATCTCGTTATTATCCATGTGTTATTTATGGAATTTGTTTGTGTATTTGGAGATATTTTTGTGAGTTTACACATCTTTATTTATGCATTTGTGGAAGGTGTTTTACATTTACAGATTACCCATTTTAGACAGATTATTGAGCTGTTCACACAAATAACATTGAAACAAATCTACCTCCATAAGACTAGAGAAGACAAAAATCAATCGAGTATCAAAAAACATTTTCTACTGATGGCAAAGCAGTTTTTGGATTATCTCCTAAAATCTACTAGAAAGTTTAAAAAAAAAAGGGGGGGAAATCCTCTTACCTCTCAGCTTTCTCTGTAAAGGAAAGAATGAGAAAAACGTCAGTGGGATAAAGTACTTTGTTTATATTGCAAATATACAAATGATATGCAATACTCTGCTTATTTTATCGTTGTAAATGACAGGTAGTATTGTCTCCCAGAAAATGATTAATATTTCAAATTTTCTATTGGACATCCAGTATTAGGCTTCCATTATATTCTGTGGATTTTGAGTTGCATAGCATGGCTAAACATTAGCTCAGTCTGTAGGGAACAAAAGGGTCTCCATCTTAAGTACTGATTGGAGCAAAAACAATATGGAGTTAATAATGATATGAATAATAAGTCAAATATGGAGCGCCCCAACTGCTCCCCTGGCACTATTTCAATAAACTCTGTGCTGACTATGTGTGGGAGTTGAGAAACTTCTTCAACTTGTGAAAAGAGGGAACAACTTTTCAGATGTGAACAGTTTTTGGTAATGTCAACGCTGAATGTCAGAATATTGATGATCACAGATATACTATAATTTGTGTTTATAATGTGGAAAACTCACTGGGCAGGTATCCTTTCTTGTGGGCATACCAAATGCCAAGTCCCAGCAGCAGCACGAGCAGCAGAGCCACAATAACCCCGGCCACAATTCCTCCAGTGTTCACGTCAACTTGAAGAGAAACATCACATTTTATATTGCATTAGCTGAATTACCATCAAAGAATGTGGAGTGTTAAAAACGTAATAATTGAAACAGTTGCAACACCCAAATGATAAAAGAAAACTGACAGCTGTTTCTAAATTATGAGTGTCTATTGGTTCCTTCAAAGCAGCTAAACCTGTTCATAAACCTTTAAATAGCATGCTGCACACTGCACAGGCTGAGACTAGAAATGACTGTGTCTTTAATAAGTAAGTTCCGCATGTTTTTTTAAGAGGACATAATATGTTCATTTTCAGGTTCATATTTGTATTTTGTGTCTCTACTGTGACATGTTTACGCGTTTAATGTTCAAAAAGCTCTTTATTTTTCTCATACTGCCTGTGCTGCAGCACCTCTTTCACCCTCTGTCTGAAACCAGAGCCCAGTCTGCTCTGATTGGTTAGCTGGCCGGCTCTGCTATTATTGGCCAACCGCTTAGAGATGTCCCGCCCCTTAGCTTAATAGGGCCTCTAAGAAGAACAAAAAGCACTTACGGACTTCCATTTTCAGGCCTTTGCAGCGCTGCGGAGGACCAGCATCGTTGACAGCCTCACAGTAGTACTGTCCGGAGTCCATCTTGGTTACAGCGGGATACTCCTGAAGCGGCAACAGGGTACATCTTTCATTTTAAAGGCCATAGGGACCACAGCTTTCAATGTAAATATTCTGCAAAGTAATAGGTTGAAGCTCACCAGGTTGCCGCTGGCTGCATTCAGCTTGTAAGTGGCGTTTTGGAAGCCAGCTATCTTGCTGGGATCAGTGGGCATAAGGATGCTGTCTTTGTACCAATTGTACGTGGGGGGGGGGGAGCCGTCGCCATCATGGCAGGTCAACATGGCCACCTTGCCCGTCGTCACTGAGGACGGGATCCGACACATGGGCGGAGATGGAGGCACTGCGGGAAACAACAGTCAGTTCAGCTGGTCTCCATGTACAGTAATACACAACCTGCATCAGTCAGAGGTGGAAGAAGTACTCGGGTACTTTACTTACTAAATTGTTAAAATACTTTTTTACAAGTGAAAGTCCTGCATACAAAATTATACTAAAGTAAAAGTAGTCCCGACAATTTCACGTTCATACATTTGAAATGATTGTATCGTGAATATCGATTATCTATAAACTGCTGCTTTATATCTTAACCTATAATTATGTGTCTATGTTAATTCATTATTTGATTTATATTTTGAATGAGCTAATATTCTGAATCTGTAAAATCAAATGTTTTATTTATAAAGCACATTTAAAAGCAATTTTTGGTCGAGCCAAAGTGCTGTACATGTAATAAAAACACATTACTACAATCACAATAATTTACAACAGAAATATAAAAAACAAAAACACAGGGAATAGTCAGGAGTCGTGCTCCACTCTGACTAAAAGGCCAGAGAGAAGAAGTGTGTCTTTAGTGAGGATTTAAAAACCCCTAGTGTCTGGGCCGACCTCACATGGAGGGGCAGAGTGTTCCAGAGCCTAGGGCCAGCTGCTGCGAAGGCTCGGTGCCCTCTGGTTTTGAGCCTGGTCTTGGGCACTATCAGCAACAGCTGGTCAGCAGACCTTAAAGCTCTGGCTGAGGTGTAGCGCTGGAGTTCAGCTATATAGGCCGGAGCCAGCACATTTAGTGCTTTGAAAATAAATAAAAGGATTTTAAAATCAATTCTGAACCGAATTGGAAGCCAGTGTAGTGAGGCCAGAATTGGGGTGATGTGGTCACGCTTTTTGTGGCCAGTCAGAAGATGTGCAGCTGCGTTTTGGACTAGCTGCAGGCGTTTAATTGAGGCCTGGTCCATACCCACATACAGAGCGTTGCAATAGTCCGGTCTCGAGGTAACAAAGGCGTTAATAACCCTTTCTAGGTCTTTAAAAGATAAATACGACTTGGTCTTGGCCAATAGTCTTATTTAAAAAAAAGTAGGATTTGACTACGGTGCTGACCTGCTTGTCGAATTGAAAAGTGCTAGTGAAGGTCACTCCAAGGTTCATGACAGAGGGGAGGATGTTTTCAAAATAACAAAAGCTGTCAGATAAATGTAGTGGAGTAAAACATATATTATTGTCTTCCATATCGTAGTGGAGTAAAATACAGTTTTAAAAAAACGTGGGTAAAGTACAAGTACCTCAACTTTTTTAAATAAGTAGAGTACTTATTCAAGTTCAATTCCACCACTGATTACAGTAGATACACTTTAGAACTTAAATAACAATATTAGTACAATATGATACCCTGCATCTCTGATCCATAGAGCTTCGAAAATGGGTTGACTTTCAATATTTTCGCTGATTATCGATTCATGAAAAAGTTTTTAGTTTAAAGCAAGGGAAAAACACTTATACCATGGAGTATTGCAATACTGTAGTCCACTCAGATGCAAAAAATAGGAAACGTTTTATTGTAAAAATGTGAGTCAAAGTAGAGTATAAATGTTTGAATGCAACTAGAAAAGGATCCTTACCCAACACAGTCAGCTGCACTCGGACATCCCCAAACTGGCCTACGGCGGACACTTCGCAGATGTACACTCCGTTATCTTTACGGGTCACTTTGGAGATTCTTAGGTTATTGCCGTACATGGTCACTCGGCCGGCGTACGGCTCTGTGGGCGAATGGAAGTGTTACACGGACTGACGGACATCTAAAATGTCTTGCCAACACATTTTGGGGAATTGCTTTTTTTAGCCAACAACCAATTGTGTCACCGTATGCGTGTGCAATTCCATAATGCAAATGTTTCCTTCACTGATTACATTTTTTTAAATAGAAATTCAAAGATTATTTTCAGAAACCTCAATAGAAGCTTCAAATGTAAAAATCTAATAATATTCAGAACCACCCTTTCCTATTTACGAAGCCAGGTCTGTGTATTAACACCAGAATTGTATCAGCATACACATAGAATGAACAGATAAGGAAGTATTCGCTGAATTTGACAAAAATTGAATTTGGATAACAATAACAACCTTAAAATATGTCTTAATATATAAAATTCTAATTCAAATGATGGAGTATTTACGACTCAAAAATGACATAAAGATGAAAGGATAACAACCACTGGCACAATGGATTTAGAAAATAAACTCGTATTACCCCACACTGTACAGGCTAAAATAACAACAGTGTTTTACAATTATAGCTAAATAATATGTGTGTTTTTAAAGAATAACTTTTTGGGATGTTTTGAAGAAGGATTGAGATATATCGGTGTGTTTATAAAAAAATCTGACTAGATACTGCCCGCTTTGAAAGGACTATACTCCCGTCTTTCTTGACCCCACTTTACACCAAACTTCATTGAAATCTAGAAAAGCTTGGTTCATTATATATAGTATTCTTACTCAAAACAACAAACAAATAAACATAACATGTACTTTGTGAAAAGTCATTAGTCAATATGCTCTAAAAAAGACTGTACTCACGTGTTGGTTTCCCATCAAACACCACATACGTCTGTGAGCCTTTTAGGTCTTTAAATTTCCACTCAACCCTGGCATTGTTACCGAAGTCGGCTGAATACTTGCATGTGAGGTCCGTCCCTGGAAAAACACAATTCACAATTACGTTTAAGTCATAAGCAATAAAAAAGGTAATATTTTTAAATGAATCTCTGACTCACCTTCATTCTCTTTGACCCGCACATTGTTGTTGTTGGTGGTGACTGCAAAGCCTCTTACACCTGGACACAGAGATTAAAAGGAAACATGTCATTAGACGATGAAGTCACATGTGACCATAATGCATCACAGAAAATGTGCCAAAGTGATCAGTGGACAGTACAAACATATTGTATGTAAAGGTATTATTTGTACACATTTAAAAGGTTAGTTGCATGACTGATTCAGTCCAATAGTTTGCACAGGATGTTTTTATTGCCAAGACTTTTGGCAGATGTTCATCAGCACATTTTAAGCTGAGTCTAAATTCTCACTTCCTGTAAATACAGCTTTGGTTTTTAGGCTGATTATGGAGTCAGTGACGGCAGAGTCTTCTCTGTGGGTGTTATCCACTTACTCTCCTAACATTGTTAAATAAACATGAAAAAACAAAAAAAGGATACAATCATTTAAAAGGATTGGAGTAATGTGGACAAGTGGACACACCATAGGCAGTGGTGGAGTGGAGTGAAGTACCTTTACTTAAGTACTGCACTCAAACACAATTTAAAGTATTAGTAATTTAGCGAGTATTTTCATTTGATGTTACTTTATCATTCTAGGGAAGCTGTGGCTCAGTGGATAGTGTGCTGGACTTTGAATCAGGGGATAGCAAGTTTGAGTCCCACTACAGTCAGCATGTCGTTGTGTCCCTGAGACACTTCACCCCAAATTGCTCCTGTGGGGATTGCCCACAGTACTGAATGTATGTAAGTCGCTTTGGATAAAAGCGTCTAACAAATGACATGTAATTCTTATTCACAACATTTTAGAGGCAACTATTCTACTTTTTCCTCCATTACATTTACTGTATCTGACAGCTTTATTTACTTTACAGATTGAGATAATTAGCCAATACAAATGATAAAATAGCAACTACATATAATTATAGGTTCAAATATCTAGCAGCAGTATGTCATTAAAATTAGCTCCACGAATGCGCCTAACAGGTAACTTCCCCCCCCCCCCGGTACTTTAAGTACTTTGAATGCTAATACTTTTGTACGTTTACTGAAGTAAGATTTTGAATGCTTGTAACAGCGTATTTTTCCAATGTATTATAGCTGCCTTTACTCAAGTATCATATCCGAGTACTTCTTCCACCATTGCTAATTAGGTACACCCGTACAATCAGCTGAAACTCATCTGCCATACAGTTTATCTTTATGATGCCTATCAATCAATCTGAAAGTGGATTATTGTGGCAGTAATGCAATTACAATTCAAGCAGTTTCAAGCACTGTATTTAAAATACAAGTGCTTCTCAATCGCTCCACATTAATAATACAAGTATATTAAGCATCCAGTTTATAGCAGCATTGCCTGCAAACAGTTTTTTTCAACTAGAAGGAAGACAGGTTTAGGTCACGTGATTAATAATGAGAGAAAGAGGTGGTAATAAGGTGTGGAAATTAATATTTTCAGTATTTTGTTTAACAAACAAGCAGCAAGGAAAAGTATCCATTTACAGAATAAATCAGCAAAAACGGCACCTTCGGATATGGATTATATTAATTAATAATAACTTGTTTTATTATTTAAATAGTATTATTATTATTGTGGTTTCTGCCTTTTTATAGATTTAAAAAAGCCCCACAAACAAGATTTGAGAACGCGATATAATAACTGAGCTTGGCTTCAATAGGGTAAAACAATCTACCACAGCAATAAATATAAAGTGTGCAATCAAATCTCAGAGGCCAAGAGTATTTTGTGAAAGACTAAAACACTCAGAGCATGCTCACAAGCCTTTAGGGTGTGGGAGAAAAAAAAGAGTGACACATTCCTGTCCGCTGAGCCAGAAGACTTCCGGTGAAACCATCAACAGTCGGGTTGAAACTGGGTCTTTTTCAGGCTGAGCAGTGCAGCGGAGACACCTGACTATTAAAGCCTGTCTGTCACATAACATTAGCATCTATTACCCCACACTGACATTACTTTAAGTGTTGGGAGTTACATGATTACCACCTTTTTGGTCAGACATGCCTGTGTAAGCTCCAACTACAGCCAGTTAATCATTAACTGTGTGTGGGGTCATTCATTGTAAACATCACCACATTATACTACAAAAGGAAATCATACAAAAGGAGAGACTTGAGAAGAGTTTAAAGCATTTGGCATGTGTACTGTGGCTACTTAAATGACTTCCTTGTTGCCCTTCAGATGTCTCTCACTGGCGGTCTCAGCTGAGATAAGAACGCACAGTCACAGTTTTGGTTTAGATAAGCGGCTGGTGTAAAATGAAACCGGAGCACTCCGTGACTTCTTCTGTTTGCATACTTTGCTTTGTTTCAGGGTTGGGGAAAACTCAAGTTTAAAGTATGAGAAAACACGTGTGAAGTGCTGTGTAGCGTCCGCTTCATTTAGCAGACTGTACTGCAGGTGCAATGATGAGCATTACAGCAAAGGCAAACAAAAACCAGCCGGATAGCAGCTGAAAGAAAAAACACCAGGTATGTCAACTGGTTTAACCACACTCTGCCTTGGTCTACAATAAAGTCCCTTGATGCCAGTCACTTGTGCAAATGTAGTTTGATGAAGTGTTTAGGTTAGCACAGATCGAGTGATGTTGTACATTTCATGATGTTCATGAAAATCTTTACAATGCTGCAACTTTTAAGGTTCATATAACCGAATATTGTCAGTTGTATAATGCAAACATTGCGTAACGGTTGAAATAAAAAACACACCCATATTAAAAACCAGGACCTAATTACACACTAGCAGAAATGAATTAAGCACACCTGCCAAATACAGGGTAATGCAATGTTTGCTTTTACTCCATGGCAGTTTTTTGTAAGGAATATAACATAAACTAGTAGAGGATACGGTTATATGCGTTTTTCCCCCCGAGGTTTAATGTCTAGTGCTTACTCAGTGTTTTCATTTCTACTAGATAGATCTCAGAGTGTCCGGCTAAAATAACTGGAGGAGGGGCTCTGTAAGGAAGTGGCAGATTTTTTCCGGCTGTGTATTTTCAAATTATAGCGCACTCGAGCTGGTTTCTCCAAAATTACCTACCCCACCTTTAAGATACAAAAATAAAGAGCTACTGCACAGACAAGTGACTGGAATAATACAAATATGGGATTTTTACACACTCAGATGCAAGGTTGTTTTCTTAATAAACCTTCAGGGACCTTGACTGTTCATTATGTGGCCACTGTAAAGATCAAGAGTAGAATTAGGGAACCACACATGTGTATTTAAGAGCATTCTTCCTACATTCAAAAACAATGGGTAACGAAACAAGAAGAGCTAATGCATCTGATCTCTCTGGTTTTACAGCTCAGGGCGTAGATTCATTTAATGTCATGTACACAACTACGGTGAAGTTATGTTATGAATGAAACATTTGGGTCACAGGTTCCTAAACAATGCAATTACAAGACAAAAAAAAAAAATCAGTGCAAGGTTTAAGTAGTCTTAAAACCTGTGGGATAAAACTGTCTTTGAGTCTGGTGGTAAGCAGAGGTGGGAGAAGTACTCAGATATTGTACTTGAGTTAAAGTAGAAGTAGCCTACCAAAGTGTAAGAATACTCTGTTACAAGTAAAAGTCCTGCATCATGCAGATTGGTCCATTTCAGAATAATATCAGAGTGCACGATGTACCTCTGAATTGTAGTGGAGTAGAAGTTCAAAGTAGCATAATATGGAAATACTCAAGTAAAGTACAAGTACCTCAAAAGTGTACTCAAGTACAGTAGGCTACTTGAGTACATGTACTTTACACCACTGGTGGTAAACTACATATTCTGCTTCTTTTTCAAAAAGGGACGAAAATATTGAAGTATCCTGCAAATGATAGACTACAAAATGGGGAAATCCTTGTTTAAAGTCGCTTTTGTCCAATTCACATGCAGGCGGACATGTTGTTGCGAGGACAAGCCCCGAGGTTCATTTGGGGATTCAAGCAACAACACATACCAAAAACATTTTATTATTTAGGGACAACATAGCCATTAGTAGGCTATTGGCATTGTTGAGTTAATCTATGCAACATTAGATTATTTTATCAAATGTTTGTCTTTCCTAAAACGTGAAATGATACAACGATTTCCAAAATAACTCACCTGTTGCAGAGAGGAAGAACAAAGCCACCGAAACCAACCCGGTGGAAAACATGTCGACCAATTCGGTCCTCTTCCGCTACACGACGCGTCCCTTACTATAATCCTGGAAAAAGCAACAGAAAGTTGAAAATAATTTTCCTTACGTCGAATAATGAACCAAACGTGTATATTTCGCAACTCTTAATTGACTGTATCGCTGTTTCTTCAGCATTTACCGTGAGCTCTCACCTGAGGAGTCCACCCAGGTGACAACAAGCTATGTAACTTCCGGTAATAGGATCCTCTCTCAGGTGCCTCGGTGACGACAGAGTGGAAAAACTAGTTTGACCAGAACGAAGCTGTTACAAAGCACATTCACAAGCAGAGAGCACAGTGGTGTGTTTCTACACCATATTTACACAGTAGGTTGGGTTCAGGTCTTTGAACCCTCCCCCACTTTGACATGGATTTTTGTATTCGTTTATTTAATCTCTTTCAGTTCCCTCTTTATTCTTGTGGTGAGGTATTTTTCTGTCAGAATTGCACTTTAGAATTTGTATTTGCTTTAGTATGTGCACACCCATAGCATAGGCATCATGTCCCCACCACTTTTTGAAATGGCCAATTTTGTCCCCACCACTTTTTAAAAGTATAACTTGTAAGAAATGTAATAAACAAGAACACTGGTTTAGTTTCAAGATGTGCAATTTGGACATGTTAGTAAACTTAAGCAACTTTTTAAATGATTTTGTATGGCCAGACAGATTTTTTTTAAATATTCAGCCTTTTTTTTCGTCCCCCTTTTGTGTCCTTGCCAACCTTAAGGCTGGCAAGGACACAAAATATCTCATTACATGAAAACTCACAAAGATGATAAAGGAATGAAAACATAAAAAGTCCTGCACCTTTGTGTATGTTTCTTTCTTAAAGCAGCAAATATAAATCATTGCCCCCAATTACAAAAAAATTGTAATTATTATTTACATTTTTGTTGTTGTTGTAAAACAGTTTTGAATGCAACGTTTTTTTTAATTAATTATTATTATGTTATTGGTGGTGGGGTGTGATTGTACTGCCTACTGTATGTTTGGGATTCGAAACCACATTTGCACAGCAATAATGGTTATGGGCTCACCGTCCCTCACCGACGGGGGACTGTCCCTTGGAGGTTTTATTATTACTATTATTATATTTATCTATTAATATTTTTTATATCGTTTTGTTTAATTTATAGTTTACCATTCTTTGTGTATGTCTGTTGGAGGTGCACGGCCCTGTAAAGCTGGCTTGCACACATTTTTTAACGTTTTCTTTTTTAATTGTTATTATTATTTTAAATGCTGTATTTTTTTATTATTATCATTTTATTATTCATTGTATTTGTTATCATACTTTTTTATTATTATTATTATTATTATTTTTAAATGCATTTCTATAATGGTATTCTATTTTTTTTATTTTTTTTTATGTATTTATTACATGGTTTACTTTCTTTTTATTATCATTTGTTGTGTAATTGTATTATTATTGTTTTTATTATTATTCATTTATTTAAATATTATTAATATTTTATCATCATTATTCCCACACAATTATTTGTTTTTAGTTATTCAATATTTATGTATTTATATAATTTTTGTATTTACTTAATTTATTCCTTTAATTGAACTTTTAATTGTTTTATTGTGATTATAATTGTGTATGAATTTATTGTATTATTATTATTATTATTATTATTATTATTATTATTATGTTATTTATTATTATTTTTAAGGTTAAGTTATTATCTGAAAACCATATGAAATCAGTCATAATATAATGAAAAAAACAATACGCCAATATGGCAAGGAATACAACTTAATTATTACATTACTAGTATTACCATTACTATTATTGTGGGTTATAAAACCTTATAATAGGAACAATATTAGGTTACATTGCCATTTTTGTATTCATTTGGACTACAATAAATGCATTTGGAATAGTGGTTACCTGCTGTGGATAAATGTAAAATGCACAATTTCTTAACAAAGAATTAAGTAAATCTAATTCAATTTAAAGTTATTATATCATCCGTACAAAGCCCACACACAGCACACACACAGTACACACACAGTACATCAGATATTCACAAACTTCTGGCAATATAGTTTATCATCAAAACTCCAGAAAATAGTGAACACATGAAGAAAGATGTTGCTCTGCACAGACAAATGATAATATTGCTGTATAAAGTTTATTGCATAATTTCAGGATAGTTGTGGTATTCAGCAGCTCTCATTTGTAAAGACTGTACTCCAGCCATTGAGGTAAACCTTTTTCAGGATATTGTAAAAACACAAACACATTCCTTTAGCCTGTGTAATGCAGTCTTTTTCAAATGACATGCTCTAAATCTCAAAACCCATTGCTCAGACACAATACTCAGAAATTCTGGTATTTCCTCATGTTTGTAATTCCTCTTTCTTGTTGACACTTGCAAGTACAATCCTGTGTCACCCAGTGCTTCCCTCTACAGGAAACCAACAGCATAGCAGACATACTAACTGCACATGCACAGTAGAGATCATGCATAAACATGTGTCGGTTAGCTTCGTTATTAAGCGTGTTTCTTCTTTAATGCTGTTACAGTTTATTGTCAATATACGGTGCATAGTACAGCAGTGCTCTTCAGTGCATTTAAATGATTGTGCTCTGGCTACACACCACCTACTCAACTATATACACAAGTACAAATCCTTAAGACAAGACACTGCACGATATAAAGCATATTCAGCGTAAATAGAACCATGTGGATCTGACTAAATGTATAGCCTTCAGAAACATACTACTGGATATCAATGACGGCAAGCCTCGGCTGAACATGGATCATGTGTCTCAGGCACAAGTGAAAGGCGAAATAAAAACAGAGTTTGTGTTTTGTTTTTGTTTGTCACAACAATCGAGAGACTGTATACATCGTCTCCTTAGACTAGTAGAGTAGATAGAAACTTTATTGCTCATGCATACATTAGAAGTCAGTCAAAACCAGTTTTAAAAGGGCCCTATTCTGCTCATTTGAGGTTCATATTTGTATGTTGTGTCTCTACTGTGACATGTCTCCATGCTTTAATGTTCAAAAAGCTCTTTATTTTTCTCATACAGCCTGTGCTGCAGCACCTCTTTTCACCCTCTGTCTGAAACCAGAGCCCAGTCTGCTCTGATTGGTTAGCTGTTGTGATTGGTCAACCGCTTAGAGATGTAGCGCCCCTTAGCCTATCACATACAATGTGTGGAGCCCTTGCCAAAAGCAGCGCTAGTCTTACATAGTGATGTCACTATGTTACGGAAGAAAACTAAATAATTCAATGTAGGCGTTTCAGGCAGGGGGGGGGGGGGAGTGTGTTGGAGTGAATCTCCCTCTGGAGGGAACTTTGGGATTTTAGCCAATGCAGACCATTTACATGCATGAAAACCCATATAAAACACTATAGGAAAGGGAAACCCAATAAAGTACAATAGGGCCCCTTTAAAGTTTTTGTTTCTCTGCTTGTCATTAGATGAATCCCTGCCAAAGCTATCTGTGTTGCCCTACCCAGTTCCTATCGACTGATACAACACAATCTGCCCCTGTTGGCCTGTGTGGCACAAGGTCGCCTCTGTCTGCCCTCATCATGCCAAGAAGGACTCACAGGGGACGGATTTCATTCAAGCAAAAATAGATTGCTCACTTCAAAGAGTGATGATAGTCAGCAATAATGTCACATTGCGGAGCTTAACGCTGCATCACTTCTGAGCTCCCCAAATTGTAATTCCTCGCTGGGTAATCCGTTTTCATCTCTCTGTAAAACCCCCTCTTAGTCGCTGTCCTCATAGATAATTATTTCTTATTATTAAGACTGAAGGCTAAAGCTCTTTAAATGACATTGAATAACTTCTAAATTATTGAATGTAAATATTAAATATTACAGAATATAGACTTTCAGTTTAAGTCACATTCATGCATTTTACTCATCACCCTGTTAATGATGTCTGTCAGAAATGCATCCAACAAATTTCTACTGCACATTGCAATAACTGTTTATATGTGAGAGTACTGTAGAGTATAATGCAGTAGTACATGTGCTTAGTATTGTGCATGATGCAGGCCTGTGTGACATACCAAATCTACACTATACGTTCATTCACTTCAGCTTATTGCACTTTGTGCATACACACAACTTCAGTCACCAGTCACCGGATGAGTATGGGTGCAGTGTTAACGTATGCAGCAGTTTGGTGACTCGTTCACAGCCAGTGAATATCCAGCAGCATCGGAAGTGTCATCAAGGTCAGCATCAGGCCACTGCAGCTTTGAAATAGGACACTCCACGCAGAGCATGGGAGGAGGAGCTCTGCAATAGGAACAATTATACAGGTTTGTTTTGCAGTCACTCAAATGTTTTATTTTTTCCAAAACAATGACTGTGAGCAGCTTACGTTTGAAGACCACTGAGGTTTTGGTTGCTGTGGCACCCGTGTCTGCAAGTTTGATGCTGCAGGTGAAGTTGGACTTGCCGTTGGGCAGGTTTTTAAACAGCAGGCGACAGATGTTGCCAGGGAAGATGCGGGCCCTGGCTTTCTTCTTGAAGGGGGCATGCTGCTCCTCGTCCGGGTCCGTGGTGTCAAAGAGTCGCTCCCCGTTTGAGTACTTGCAATAAGGTGTTGGTGACTCAGCGGGAACCGCATATTTGCAATCCATCCTGAGGTGGTGCTCATCTATTGAGCAGTAGTTCAACTGAATCACCTTCTGGGCTGACGCAAAGCCTTTGTGGAGTTTAAAACACAGAGAAAAACTCACTCAGGTTAGAAAATGAATCTATTATGTCCTCTCTTAACATTATGAAAAACAATGATCTTACCAAAAAGTAAAAGTGTGGAAAGGAACAACATTCTCCCAATTTCCCTGCAAAAAAAAGGAAGGCACAAGAAAATAAAAATATTCACCACGCAATTATAAACCGAACCAAACAGCAAGCTATTTATTTGGCTGTCACGTCTTTACATTATTGAGGTTTGAATCAAATACAGCTGACTGTGCTTTAAAGAGAAGGGTCAGATTTCATGAATAACACACTTAACTGCGGAGGTTACTGTAGAAAAGTCACTGTACCATAATACTGAGAACAAGACAGCCTCACTGTTTTACGTTGCAAAGAGATGAACTGCAAACTTCTCTGGTGATTTGCCAGCACTGACACATTTCTGAGCTTAACCCCCCTCGAGAACAATGCTCTGATTCCTTGCCTACTTGTATTAAATATGTTAAGAAAATACACATAAACCAGTTCATCTCTTTCTGATTGCTTGATGCAGAGCGTCTCCCGCCTTCATACAAATATTTGCTTTAGTGCTGCTTCCAGTGTTAGAGCTAATATTTCATCCAGACTGCAATGCACAGTTCAATGTTTAATCAAAGCTCAGATCCAGCTAATAACAGTATATGAATCATTCTCACCTTGTCTGATGCAGTTTGAGCTTCCCTCAGTGCTCTGCAGTGTGATGCCAGGGGTAGATACAGTAGAGGTCGGCTTATAGAAGAAACAGAGGAGAGAGGGAGGGGAGTGGGACAGAGAGGGAGGGGAGTAGGCAGAGAGAAGGGGGGAGAAAATGCTGCTCCAGTGGACTTTGGGGACATTTCTCAGTATTGTATACGAATTTGTATTGATTTCTGCACTCTGTTTTACCACAGGACAGAGGATCGCATGTCAATACACAAACCTTGGCCTCATTTTGAAGGATTGAATTTGATCTGAATGAGAAAGAAAAAGGAAATGTTGTGATGAGGGTTTGATTATCTGAGACACCTCAGCAGCTGTTCTACATTTCCTCATTCAGTGTGGGAGTACTAAACGTGTCAGCACTTTCTCAGCTACTTTTGCCAGCATAAATTAAAATATATACATATTAAACACACATTTACAGATAATTCCTTTCACCTAATGTATTGGAAAACTTGTACTACATTTACTCCTGCATACAATACAAAAACACACTATAAAAGAAAACAATAGAATATACATGGGTTTGAGTATTCTGCAATTGGCTTATCGTTCATAACTTCAATAATATTACATTAAAGAGTAAAAGTGGTCTACACCAAAGTTGTAGCTGATCAGTACAGCCCATTTAATGTATATAAGAGGTGGACCTCACTGTGATGACACCCATCGGTTGGTGGACTGGTTTTAGCAGCCTAAAGTTTGGCATTTAAGGGTCGGCCATCTTGGTTATTGGGTACAATAATGTTGGTTTGTAATGATCGTGTTTAGATTTGTACAAACTCTCGCTGCCAAGTACCTACCGCAAATACAGGCTTACATTCTTGCTGAGCACCGAACTAGATCAAAATATTACAGTTTACTCTCATGACCTGAGGGAGGCGTGTGGTGTAGTGGGTTGTGCATTGGTGTTAGATCATAAGGTCACAGGTTCAAACCCCACTGCAGTCAACATGTCGTTGTGTCCCTGGGCAAGACACTTCACCCTAAATTGCTCCTGTGGGGATTGTCCACAGTGTTGAGTATGTAAGTCGCTTTGGATAAAAGCATCTAACAAGTGACATGTAATGTAATGTAATGACCTGAAAAAAGATGTTTCTCATAGCCTTCTTTACTTTTGGACTTCCTTTTTGCAACCAGTTTAGTCACACCCTTGCATGCTATTAGAGAAATGCAGGTTTAATGCACTTGCATCGTTTTCTGACCCGGACGTTGCTGGTTGGTACACCCATAATACATTTGAAACTGTGTTAACTTTGGGACAATGTACAGGTTTAACTGAAAAAGAGTGGCCCAGGTGAAGTTTACAGCTACAATAGCAGCTCTCTGAGGCTTTACATAGGTGGGTGCATTTCTGTAGTGCCAAGTGGTGCAGTTTGGACATGTGACACATTAATAATTAGTTCTCTTTTAATAGAAAATAGAAAACCAGACATCACTCCCACTTTTGCAGCAGCATGGCACAGGCACTGCACCAGTCCCCATTAGCCTACTGATTCTAAAATGACCCAAAAACGTGAATGCTCAGAGCAGAAGACATTACATGTATATCATGCCCCTAAAAAGCATAAAAGGCCCTCTAAGTTCTTTACATTGTTTGTTCTTGTCCAAGTTTTCCTTCTCTCTCTCTGTGATCATGACACACAGACACACTGTTGACTTGTGTTTGCATAATAGCACTACATTGCAAGTGTATTCTGCGCGTTTCTTTATCTGAACATGTGAGCATAGTGGAATAACGTGACAACATATTCATCTACATTTTAGAAACTGGGAATATGTAAAATGATTTCACATCTGTTCGTTTTGCCTAAAAAGACTTACGAAGAACCAGGTTTTAATCGAAGCAAATCCACTGAGCTAGCTCCACTGAGTCCTCTGTATCCTCTCACTGTATCCACTGTATCCTTTTCACACTGCTCATCCATTTTTTCAAGGTCCTTCCTAAGACAGTTGCTGAACTCCTGCCATACTGAGGCAGTCTCCCAGGACACTGACAGAAATGTTGCAGAGCTCTCTGCAGACACAACCCTCAGCGAGCAAGGAAAGCAGAGGCTACTGTACACTGCCTTTAATACACTAACAATACATTTTCTTTTACAATGCTGTCTCCTTCCTTCTAAATACCAGGTGTAGTGATCCCTGCCAAAAGGATTCATTAGAGATTCTGTAGCAGCTCCTCTGCTGGATGCTGATGTTGATACACTGCAGGTGAAACACAGCAATTCCTCTTCAAAGATGTGCGCTACACTATTATACTAAACAATCCTTATAGTGTCAAACTACACCAAGTATCGATTCAGACTTTAAATCCATGCATTTTCCATTATTTTTCAACTAAAACACTGTTTAGCAAAGTAGAATTTGTGCATTTATAAGGAATGTTTTGAATATATCAGCGTTGACCAGCAAAACATTGTGGTTCCATTTCTGCATGATTGATTTCCCATTACATATAAATCCCTTTTATTTTGAATAAAATGATCTTAAAGCAATTTGCTGCTGCAGACTTCCCTCTCTGCAAAGTGTGTGGAAAGTCTGATGGTCCAAAAAGCAGACTGTGTCCTTTAATAAGCAATGACTTATATCATTGATCAGGTATCCTAACAAAAGACTGACTGGATTATCATAAATTGCTAACATGGTAGAAGAAATGCCCATTCACTGTTTTTCACCATGTCTCCTACTTTTGAGCGTCTTATTTCTCTTGCATGTTTAATTTGTATCTCTACATGTATAAGGATAGTACGATGATTTTCTTTAATCAGTAATTGTTTTCTGGGGCTGTGTGTGTAACTTTATTGTCCTGTCCCATGTTAACAGTTGGAATTCATTCACAAAAAAACTCCCCCTTCTGCTATAGAGGAGCTATTAAATAAACTATGGTCCATTTGAATATTAAACAACAAGAACAGATCAAATGTTGTAAGTCTCTGTCTGTTATCAGACCAATATTATTATTATATATTTTTATTATATGTACAGCACTTTGGCTCGACCAAAAATCGTTTAAAAATGTGCTATATAAATAAAACTTGATTTGATTTGATTTGAATATTGCAGTGTAAAAACTACTGCAGAGGTCAGAAATATAACCTTTCAATATGCTTAAACACTCCACAGGCCTTTAGTCAATGAATGGTATGAAAGTGGAGAGAAGACATTTAGAAATAAAGTTATCTAAAAAAAACTCTGATTAAAGGTGGGGTATGTAATTTATTTCAGAAACACTTTTTGTTATATTCCATGGAATGCTCTTAACATCCCGATAGCAATGAATATATTAAATGCTTTGACAATAAATACATAAAAACATTTCATCTGTGGAAGCCGTAGTACTGTAAAAAGCACGACCAATCATCTGAGCCGGCCCGGCTAAAATAACTGGATGGCCTACCTGCCTGTCAGCCTTCCATCTGTGCACAAACTTCTCTCGTGCCCTCATTGGTCATGTGCGCGTTCGTGTGTGTTCTGAGGAAGTCTGAAGGAAGAGGCAGATTTTTTCCGGTTGTGTACTTTCAAATTCTAGCGCACTCGAGCTGGTTTCTCCAAAATTACATACCCCACCTTTAAGTGAAATTAGGTTTGAATGTCCTTTCACCACACCTTTCTTTTTACACTAGATGTCACCATTTGTGGCTTCTTCCAACTGTTTGTCATATTTATGGTGCTGTTCCAGTTTCTGTCCTGCAGAGGGAACTCTTCTCTTGCACCAAGACATGACAGCTCTCCAAAAACCATTAACATCTGGATGAGTGGTGATATTATTTTTTAAAGTTTTTAAATTGATAGCTTTCATGTATAAAGTCCCACACGACACTTTTAATGTAGGAGGACATCACCTCCTCGTGAAGCTTGAGCCAAACGTCAGGGGTTAATGAGCATTACATCTCTGCTACAAACTCTTAACTTTTCTACCTGATAAATAGAAGGAAAGTGGGATGAATTTCCCTGCTCCTGGATGTTTCTGTGCAATAACTTAAGGATATGTTCCTGTGAAGCTGATGTGTGCGCGTTTGAGTGCCTACGTACAGACGGAGCAATAGTCTGTCCTCAGTCCAACAGAAAGCTCTGCTGCTGCTGCTCCTCCGCATACCGGCACACCGGCGCAGCTCCACCACGGGACAGCGAGCACATTGCCAGGTAAGACTCATCTGCAGAGTGTGGGGAAAAGCTTAGGCATGTCATTGTAGGGAATGTAACATGTGCAGATCGGGTTAGCGTGTATATCAGGAGTCTGCATGGCCGTCACCTGCAGTAAGGAGCAGATATCCGCATGAAGTGAGGGGCAGTTTGCTGCATTGGGCGTAGTCATAATCTGCATTTGGGCTGCAGACGGAGCAGCACCACAGGGCCCACTATCACGGCGGTCGAGGACACACACAGGCCTGATGGAGATGGATGCTGCAGTTTTTTCATGCATGCTAAGGCTGTCTTTGTAGCATTTGGTGTTTTTTTCTGCTGCAACTTTCTCATTGTCCCATGTTGAACTCTGGCAGGCAGTGAGGTGCTGTGAAGGTTATTGATCTGATCGGACAGACTCTCACCAATCCGCCATGGAGCTGCAGCTGTTCGCCACCGTCTGCATCCTCTTTAGCAGGATTGTGGTAACACATCAAAATACTCACAGTATGTGTCATCCTTTGTTTGTTTATGTTTATTAATGTGGAGGGCACTCAGCTGTTTCAAGTTGGATGTATGACAGGATATGGGTGATTCATTTTAAAATGAAAATGGTTGCAAAAAAAAATCTGTAAAAATGTATTTGAGTAAATAAAATACCTGCATGTGTTTTTATATTGTGATTAGGGTGACAGACACACATTCAATAATACTGCAGTAAAGGTGTCATTACCCATGTTCACCACAGAGTTAAAAATAAGTTTTACTAGGATGATGTCATCTTAATGTAAATGTGTCACAAACACTGGTTAAATATTGTAAAGGGGTGTGTAATAAGCAGCTACTGTTGGTCACGTTATCTCAAATTAGCTCTAACAGTGTCCCTTAGACTTGGTATTTTCTTGACATGAAAACATTTTCAATATTAAATAAATAATTAATGATGACGTAAATAATTGAATTAATAAATTGTGTACATTTGTTTGTGACTCAGCATCAAGGTAAAGAGTTAACAGTAGCAGCTAACTTTCAGAATAACATATTTGTTTTTCTTTCTGACTGAAGCTACAGCTCTGTTAGCAGTTGTCAAGCTTTTAGCCTAAGAAGTTAACATAGTAGATTCAAAGCTGTCATTGCTGCACACATTTCTTGAAGTCATTGTGCAGTTTTGGATTTATGTTTGGGATCATTGTACTCCCTGAAAACTCGTTTAAAAAAACCCAAATTCAAATCAGAATCTGCTTTATTGTCAAGTAGGTTTTCACAAGGAATAAGCTTTCGTGTATCAATGCTTAACATGACAATTAAAAGATACATTTAATAGAAAATAAAGAAACCTCAAACATCAAGAAACATAAATATATAAGACACGTTTAAGTATAATGAAAACATGAAAGAAACCTATATAAATATGTCTGGATTACAATGAAAGCTGTGTAATGTTTAGAATTGGTAGTTTTGTGCAGGAATGTGGAAATGATTACAGTTCTCGGTTCTTGTGGGTTATATGTTGCCACTTTTTTTGTTTTTTTCAGACTGCAAATATGCTACCCGCTAAAGTGGTGACAGATAACCCACAAGTACCCAGTTCTCTTGCAGTCTACAGTACAGCAACATGTTCCATATTATTTTCTGTATTTTGCTACTTAAAGATCACCTATTATGCAAAATCCACTATTTCATGTCTTTTCAACATCAACATGTGTCCCCTCTGTGTAAAGAGATTCTGAAAGTTTCAGGAACAAAGATTCTCTCTCTTTTTGTCCTGATCCATTTATATAAAAACCTGTCTGAAAATGAGCTGATCATATTTTGTCCACTTTATGATGTCATAACGATTTTTTGGCTTGTGTAACCATTAGCCAATCACCAACCAAGGTAACCCCCCCCCCCCCACCTTATCACCTGAATCTCCTCCTAGAGAACCATTGTGTTCTTTTTAACCAAATTTCTCTCAGAGGGGCGTGGGGGGTGGCTCCTTATTTTCATCTAAAGTAACAGACTTTTGAAACAGGGCTGAAACAGAGGGGATTATGGGATGCTGCAATGATCTGTTTGGTATTTTGAGCCAAACACTTCAGAGTGTTTTGTATATATCTGAGACCTATAATATATTGATGAAAAACATTATAATAGGGGACCTTTAAATATCAACATGTAAAAAAAATAACATTGTCCTGTTTGCATCTCTTTCAGTGAACTGGTTTTATACGCTTCTGTTCGCTCCTCGTGGGCCTCAGATGTTTCCGTGTCTAACGTACCTGGAGCGAAATGTGCGGGTGGACTGTGAGTTCCCCCCCACCTACCAGGTGCCCGGGCCGTACTGCGAGTACCGGCAGGACAGCCGCCTGGTGGGCAGCACGTTCCCCAACGCTGTGGTCTACGTGTCCACAGAGGACCGCCGGAGGAGCAACGTAAGCTTGGTGTACCCCAACCTGTGCCGCCTCACCTGGGCCCCGCTGGCCGACGAGAAGCCCTTCACCTACACATGCAGGGTGTACCAGGGGGAGAAGTGGCTGGAGAACAGCATGGCCGTCCATCACAGTGAGTGGAGTTCACTTATTCTTATTCTTTATTAGGATCCCCATTAGCACTAGCATGAGCATTGGCTATTCTTCCTGGGGTCCTCACACACACAAAACATACATAAAACAAAACTAAAACAGCTCATAATTTCATGCAATTTACAATGCTATATGAAGTGAAAATTAAAATGGTCATTCAACTCTGGATCTACATTTCATTTCATTTAGCGGAAGATTTTATCCGACTAAGCTATTTACAATAAGTACAAGAAAAATGCAGATATGTTTGCTTCAAATGGGCCAAATCGGGGGGTTTAATGGCCAAAGTACAGGCGAAATAGATGAGCTTTCAGTTCGCTACAGAACATCTGTTGACTTTCTGCTATCTTGGTATCAATTGGGAGCTCGTTCTACCATTTTGGAGCAAGGATAGGAAACATGCATGTTAGCGGACACCTGGGATTAAACAAAACGCAAGACCGCACGCTCTATGGGCTCAGATACTGGCACTATTCTCTCTCAGTCAGGTCATTTCGGATTCACGCATCACAACTCTCTTAGGAATGAAAGGGGTCCCGCCTCGGACGCTGTTTCCAGTTCTCTTTATACATCCGTTTAACCATGTCCTTGATGTATAATGCTGTGTTCACACCGGACGCGATGCGACGTTTGGGGGCGGCGCGATTACATGTAAAGTCAATGCAGAGACGTGGACAGACGCGAATTCGCTCCGACGGCGCGCATGAAGCGGTGGACGCAGCGCGAATCACACGATTGAGGCGATTGAACAGTGCCGCGTTAAACGCGAGAGTTCAATTTTTTCAACTCGAGCGTCAAATTCACGTGACGCGTTCTCGCGGAAGCCAATCAGCGGTGAGGATCTCAGCCGCCGTCACTGACGTTCAACCACACAACATCAGCCGTTAGCTGTTAGCAGTTAGCACACAGAGCTCACAGCTCCTCATATCCGTTCAGAAACTGGACAAAAGTTAAACAAGTACAAACCACAGACTGTCTGTGTCATGGTGAATACAGTCGCTGCTTATTTATGTCTGTAGGCCGTTGTTGTGAGTGTGGAATGAGCATATACAACGTTAGCTTAGCCTGGTTGACCCGATCTTCATTCAGAAAACAAGCATTTTAAAAGGTGTTTTGCCTGCCGTCTTGTCTGCAGACTTGTCAAAGCATTAATTCATGGTTGTTACTAACCGGTATCAGTATGTTGTTACTTCGGCATCATTTAGAAACGTGTATTACAATTTAATCACGGTAAAATATGTTCATTTGTTGTAGTTGTAGCTCCCGAGCCAGCGCGTCTTGTTTGAATGATGCGAGTAAACACAGCTGGCAGCCGCGGTGAACCTCCAGCGTTTAGAGCGATGCGATAGGAGCGATTAGAGCGAAGCGAATAGTCGCATCGCGTCCGGTGTGAACGCAGCATAAGAAGGACCGGATCCATAGGCGGAGTTTGACATTTGCGCTTGGGGGGGCAAACCTTTTGACTGACGTCAGTACACAGTCCCAACTATTGCGTGGGGTGCTAAGATACAGTAGCAATAAAGCTGAGTATGACTTTTCCATGCCCGCCATACACACACACTCATATGGAAGGGGCGGTCTCTCCCCCCAACAACAGTGCATTACGTAACTGTAAAACGTATCATAACTGTGCACATCTTATACTTATTTGATAACTACTATATCCCTTGGTTACTTGAACACGCTACAATATTATTAACCAGTGTCCTACCTTATTAAAATATTGATATACGAAATATTTGTATTGGAACAGTTTTCGACGTAGTAATGCTATAACATATTTCAGCCACTAGGGGGGGCAATGCCCCCCCTGCCCCCCCGCAAAATCCGCCTATGACCGGATCCCTTCACAGAACAATAGGCCTGTACCAGTGTTTTGAAGCTACTTGCAGCCAGTGAAGGTGGTGTAGTGTGGGTGTAGCGTGGGTGTAGCGTAGGTGTAGTGTGGGTGTAGTGTGGGTGTAGTGCAGGGGTGTCCAAACTTTTTTCACCGAGGGCCACATACAGAAAAATATACGAAGGGCTGGGCCGCTCACTCGAGGTATTTTGCCTCATAACTCATAAATTAGAAAAATCTATCAAATTTAGGTAAATTATGGTTGATATTGATGAACAAAACACACAGCTCTCCGTAGGGTTTCAATTATTGTGTTAGCAGCTCATTCCTTAAAACAGGAATTGCTTATAATACGTGGAAATATGAAGGGTATATTTCAAGGTTGTTATGTAAATGTATTATTGGGCTTTTTTCTTATAAACTAAGATTTGTTAGAAGATGTTTTCAACTTTAATTGACTGAATTTATTAGAAAATTGGGCTTATTGATTGTTGTGGGTTTTTTTTCTTAATGTGTGCATATGTGTAAATGTGTCGGTTGATACTGTGTTATATATTTGAACATATATATTTAAGAAGTACAATAGCAGATGTTTAATTTGTTGGCCATATTTCATAATAACTTTTTGAATTTGCTGAGGGCCGATAATTTTTTTTCCATGGCCGTAGTTTGGACACCCCTGATGTAGTGGGATCTCTGTTCCCAAACCACACCTGAAACAATGTCTAATCAAAATTTCTGCTCTGTTTCAGGGATTCTTCCAATCTGCTCTGCGATCAGCGTAATGTTCAAGTCCTCGCCGTGGTATTTGTCCCTGCTGATGACCCTTCCTGTCGCTCTGGGTCTTCTGAGTCCATGAACTTTCACATGGTAACGCCTCAATGGCCGCTTCCTACATGATTTGTGACTCACTGGTTTGGTGGTTGACTCTATGAAGACTTCTCAATACTCTAATTTCCCCTCCTCACTCCTATCTTCGACTCCTATCCTCGTGTCTTAGTCCCGCCCACAGGAGATGCGAGCGTAGGAGTCGAGGAGGGGAACCGAGGAGAGAGGAGGGGAAGCAGCAGGCGTTTAGAGAAATGAGAAATCCTCTCCTCTGAGCGGTCATTTTAAAGAGACGTCCGTTAATGATGACAGGAGGCACAGCAACCCTCTGTCTGATGGACAGATGTGTTCATGACGACTTATATATTTACTTTTAATTCATTGACAGTGCGGTATAATGAGACAATAACAGGCTACAGATGCGGACACACACACAGACATATATTTATATAAATATATACAATTTCAGAATCAAACAAGTATGAGAGCACTCTCATAATAACGTTACACAATCAGAGACTGGATATATCCCCCCCCTCTCTCTGGTCGCTGAAATGGGGAATTGAAATTATGGGACAAAAGTTGTATTTACAAGTATTAAAAGTAAGCATAGGACACCAAACCAACTGAGACCCGTCTGTCCGCCGCATCTACGCACTGTACAACACGCACCTACACACTGTACCACACACACCTACAGCTCCTAAAGCATAATCAGGATACAGCCGTTGTGTATTTTATTATGTGAAGCACTAAATGGTCTTAGGTCTTTGTTTGTAGATATCTACTAAACTACAGCATACAAATACAGAGAGTAATGTAGGCCTGTTATACTGAGTGATATATATTTTACACACTGCTCTGCTTTCTGCACGGACCTCACAGCTGTTCTCACTGTAAACATCGCGTCGCGATGAAAGCAGTTACTAAAATAATATCCAGGGGATGCATGCAGAGCTGTCATTGGCTGAGATAAGTCCGGCCGTGCGTCACGCCTCCACCGTTCCCGGAAATGCATCCGCGGAGGAGCCGTGGAGGACCCATCAGTGTATCCTCGATCATAGCTCCTCCAGAGAGCCTCCTCGATGCTCGATGCTCGGTCCTCGATGTACATTTAGAGAAATTAGATGTCCTTCAACATGGCGCGCTGAAATCCATTTCCGGGTCTCTACCTGAGGACCGAGGAGTCGAGGAGTCGAGGAGGGGAAATTAGAGTATTGAGAAGCCTTCTATGTGAGATGATTTTATTTTAATTATTTAATTTTTTTAACAGAGAGTAGAAGCCATTGAATGAATTAGACTGGATGAAATGAACCTTTCTTTGGGCATTGGGCTAGAAAATGTACCTTTGAGGTGTGAAATATTCTATGTCATAGACCTCATTCTCACCACTGTACCTTGATATTTCACAATGCTATCAAAAGAGGAAATAAATCATGACAGTATCAAATGAAAGACAAACAAATGCAACAGTGTTTATTTTATTTATTTATTAAAATGGCAGATTGAATCCGTTGATCAGGTCTCCCTTGTAAATAAGATTAATCGTGACCTATATATATATATATAAACAATCATATGTTAATGGCTGGGTAAATATTAATTATGTTGAAGAAAATCAGATGCTTCCTATAGATTTATATAACATGGTATCCCTGTTCTGAACACAAATGGGCTTGATTAAATACACAAAAATAACGTAAAGATCTTCCATTAAAGGTGGGGTAGGTAAGTTTGAGAAACCGGCTCGAGATACACTTTTTGTTATATTCCATGGAATGCTCTTAACATCCCGATAGCAATGAATATCTTAAGTGCTTTGACAAAAAATCCATAAAAAAATGTCATCTGTGGAAGCCGTAGTACTGTAAAAAGCACGACCAATCATCTGAGCCGGCCCGGCTAAAATAACTGGATGGCCTACCTGCCTGTCAGCCTTCCATCTGTGCACAAACTTATCTTGTGCCCTCATTGGTCATGTGCGCGTTCGTGTGTGTTGGAGGAGGGGCTCTATAAGGAAGTGGCAGATTTTCTCCGGTTGTGTATTTTCAAATTCTAGCGATCTCGAGCCGGTTTCTCAAACTTACCTACCCCACCTTTAATACACAAAATAAATAGAGATTTTGGATTGGATTTATAAAAAGGGACACACTATAAAAGAAAAATCACCTTTTCAGTGCTTGGGCACTCACACTAGGGGCCTTCCAAGCCACAAACTGTGCAATCATATTTTTTAAAGACGGCATATAGATCAGATAGACGGTGTTCAACAAGACATTCAGAATTGTCTCTCATTCCTTTGTGAAGCTGCACAATATTTTTCTCTCAAGCCATTAAAAGCATACTGGCTTGTTTAGTACGGGGTGACAGGTGCTAAAACGGGTCATTTCAGAGGGTTCACAAGTGTATTAAGATCGTATGAGAACAATGATGTGTTTTTTTTTACTTTAAAGCATGTCACAATGTTTTAGTAGAAACCCGAATGACAAGTATGAACTTGAAAACCTGCATAGTATGCTCCCTTTAAGTTACAGACTCATTAGCGTCTGTCAACACCCCCCCGTAATTTAATTTAGATTACATTACAGTCTCACCAGTTTGCTCAAGTATATTCAAGTGGCTATTGAGTAATAGTAATGAATAACTGTTTAAACACTGCCTTTCCTGCAAGCAATGCTAATCTATGATACCTGCAGTACCTTTCAATAGATTTGAGGCGTCTGGCTAGCAAAATGGTTCAAGTTTAGTCTGTTTTCTACTTCCAATAAGACACATACTTGATTGGGATGACATGAAAATACTCACATGTCAGTGCACTCAGAGCTTTGATGCGAGTCTGCCCTAAAACACAAAAAGATGTGTGCAGAAGAGGTTTGAGGGTTGATCTCTGCAGCCTTTAGAGGGAGGGACACTGCAGCTGAATGAGTAAGCTGTTTTTTTTTCTAGGCAGCTCAAGTAATAACTGATGGACAGACATTGCATAGATAGTATATGGTGAAATCAAATGTCATGTTTTGCACAGGTTCATTGTTAACCATCACTCTCTTTCTACAAGTATGCTCATGCTAATGTATATGTGTAGTACAAAAGAGACAGAACCTTGCACACACACATTTAAAGATCTCTGTGCTGCTTATTTATGTTGTTGACTTATAAAGACAATACTTGTGTCTGCTCTGCACTTCTGTTTTACGTTGCTGTCATTTTTTTGAATACTACACTGCTCAGTTATATTTGCAAAGTAGTTATTGTAATAAAGATGTCTTTATATTTTTTAAATAGATAGGTCAACTTATTTTGTTTATTTTATTCTGCCACCAAAGCTGTTCTAAATGCTATAGCAAAACTATAGTAACAAATAAAGGTTATGCACAGTAAAAGGTTCCTGTGTGTTTTTTCTGCCCGAGACGATTATTGTGTAGAATACATGCTTGATGCCAATTCATATTTGTTTTTGCTCAAGATAATTTAAGTATTCTCTTAAAACAACAAATAAATCTCTGGATTTAAATGCAGGGTTGGAAGATCTGATTCCTTCCTCACACCTTCCTCTTATACAAGATGTTATTGAAGACGCCCTATTCAACTTTTTTGGGTTTTGTCTTTCCTGTAGTGTGTTATAAAGGTTTTTGTGCATGGTCTGCAAGACTAAAATCCCTGTGTGCCCTCCAGAGGGAGTTTCTCTCCCACACACTCCCCCCCCCCCCCCTCCCTGAAACGCCTGACATCGATGTTCAACACTTGCGCTTCTATTGGCTAGCGCTCCAACACATTGTACATGATAAGCTAAGGGGCGGGACATCTCTAAGCTGTTGACCAATCACAACGGAGCCGGCCAGCTAATCGATCAGAGCAGACTGGGCTCTGGTTTCAGACAGAGGGTGAAAAGAGGTGCTGCAGCACAGGCAGTATGAGAAAAATAAAGAGCTTTTTGAACATTAAAGCATGGAAACATGTCACAGTAGAGACACTACATACACATATGAACCTGAAAATGAGCATTATGGGGCCACTAGGAAGCAAGTTGCTGTATTCGTCAGTGTTTTGGAGGTGTTTCCACTTTTTGTCCTGCAGATGGAGCTCTTGTTTTGCTGTTCTACCATTTGACAGCCTCCTAAAGCACAGGCTATATTCATGGTGTTGAGATCAAACAATTGAGCCCCAAAAAACATCAGGATCCACTAGTCTTTTTGTTCAATGTGCGCTGCAGTTTAAAACCAAGTTTAAATAATATATTAACATTAAAGAAACACGAAAAAAAGATAGGAACAAAAAGCACATCACATACTATTGTATCCCCACTCATACCAACAACAACAACAACCCCCTTTTTACAAACTGACACACACACACACACACACACACACACACACACACACACACACACACACACACACACACACACACACACACACACACAGACAAGCAGAAAACAGTCAATATCTATAAAAGGCCTATTCCTGAAAGACAGTGTGACATTATTCTTGGATACATTTGAGGACAAAGGGAGGATGTCTCTAAAAAAAAGAAGAACTAAAACCTCTGATGTTTTTATCAGAAGACCGGATCTGGTGAGGAAAACTCGTTCTTTGGTTAGTTGCAGCCTCAAGCAGCATCACGTGGTACAGCATTTGTACAAAAGAGAAAGTGTCTTCAACTCACATGCCTCCAGAGTATTCATAAAAAAAATGTAATGTCAGTTTCAAGCACTATTATAATGGTGACCAACTCCAGGCAGTGGTTAATAAATGTCCCACGGTTTTATTAATAATTGAACAATAAGGGAAATATGGACTATGGAGAAGCATTGTAGTTCTTTTTTAATTGTAATAGTTCAACCAACAGTGCATCTGAAGTAATAGAACAAAACGTGTTGAAGGAATTATGGCTTTTTGAGCTGTTCTAAAAACTTTACACCATAACCAAAGAGAGATATGAAAGAATAGCAAAAGCAGCTGCCACACAAGTCACTTCCTGTGATAATAAGCGTAGTGCAGATCAGAAAAACCAGTGGAAATGTGCTTTGTATGGGAATTACAATCTCTCCTAAAACAAAAGAACAAATACTGTGCATGGCTTCCTGTTTTCATAAATAACCTTCGACTACACTTTAACACAGTCAGACCCAGATAATAACCTTAATGATAACCCTGAAATAACCCTAGTTTGCTTGCATGGCATTTCTTCTTTCTGAAATAGATCAGCAACATTTCTTACTAACTTTTTCTATTTG